AAAAAAAAAGCAACTTCAAAATTTTAAATTGAAAGGAACTCAAATTTTATCCGTTATCTCTCTAAAACAGCATGCCGATAAGCTGAAGCACCATGAAAAGCAAACTGCCAAAATAAGCTTTCTCAAAGAAATAGTTACTTGGTTTTTCGAAATGAAATGAGCAAAAAAATTACCTTGTCTTCAATATTCTCAATACCTTTTCCTTTCAAAGTTTTCGCTATGATAGCTGCTGGTTTGTCCTTTGACTCACTGAAACAAGAAATAAAGCCTCTTTCAAAGAGACTAACCAAAAGTCATCCATATAATTAAAGTTTTTCAAAATAAGTTTTTCCTACGATTATATCTTGAAGAGCTTCCAACTTGAAAAATTTACATGTCAAAAGATATTGTTGGAAAAAACTGCGATTATAATTGAGTGGATTATGCAATCAACCGCCTATAATAGCCAAAACGAACCGTGCCAGTACAAATCCTCTCATGAGGTCCGCGACATCGTTACCGTCAACAACAATAGCATTAAATCCAAATGCCTCAAAACGTTTCCGATATGTTTCTACGTCGTGGCCCAACATCGTTTCTTGGGACTGGCCCAGTCTATTTACGTCAACAATTGCTACCAAATTGTCCAATTTGTAATATGAGGAGAAGCCTAAATCCGTGCTTAAAACATTTAACATATTATGAAGGGATTTAAAATCATAAAGCAAAATTGTTACCTGCAGCTTCCCAGACAGAACCTTCTGCACTCTCACCGTCACCAAGAAGACAATACACACGATACTTAGCCTAAAAGTAGTGGTAGAGGCGTAAAGTTGTTTCTTAAGAAACGAGCTTCAACTGCCAAAATAATAACAAAAAATTGTTTAAAAAAGTTATTGACAAACTTTGTCAATGTATTTCCCAACGTAGGCCATACCAGCCGCACAAGACAAACCCTGACCAAGCGAACCAGTTGCGACATCAATAAAATCCAAGCGTGGCGTAGGATGACCTTCTATATCAGAATCGATTTTACGCAGCGACATCACCTGCTCGTGTGTCAAGTGTCCAGCTTCTTCCCAAGCAGCATATAGTATTGGGCAAGCATGTCCCTACAGTAGAAACGAAGTTGAACGAAGGCCCGTTGAGCCAACTAACCATTAAAGGTAATTTAAAAGCAAAACTGATCCAGAACTAAACGAACCTTGGACAGAACAAACCTATCAGCAGCCGGATGTTTTGGTTGGCTTACGTCAAATTTCATTTCACTGAAAAATAACGTGGCTAATATTTCAGCGGCAGAGCACGAGCTGGTTGGATGACCTGATTTTGATGCACATGTCATCTGAATCGCTGAAATCCTCATACGATTCGCTGCATCAGACAAATTTTGAACGAATTTCGGGTCTAGTTTCATGCACATTTTTGCTAGATACCTGGTTGTACCGCCTAAAAAATTGAGTAATATAGGAGAACACTGCGAATGAATACAATCTCTTGAGTATCACTTCACGGCTAAAAAGCAACAGCAACACAATCCTCAACAATAATCAACTACAGTACTGCTAACCAAGAAGTCCAGCATTACTGTTGGAACAGGACGTTCAAGAACACATATTACAGGGCACGATTGACTGAAAACAAAAAACATGCAAATGTACGAAAAACTGACAACTAAGCAAAATTAACGTTCACATTCAAATTACTACTGCTGCGCTAAATCTAAAGATCTCACGAACCTTTACAAAGCTAAAGCCTAACAAAACTTATTAAAGTCACAGTCAATAATATTCTTTATAAATATTAAGACAAAAGTAATAAGCAAAAAAGCCAATTAATGATTGCAAAGAAGAAACCAATACTCATGTTAGAAAATCCCAGCCAGTAAGTTACAGCTATATTCGGTAAATCTTGAATTACAACAAAAGCAAATAATCAACCGTAAATTTAGAAGTTGTTGAAAAATAAAGCAACACCAAAAACAAAATAGGAAAAAAGGTGTTAAATAGACGTTTACAGTATTACTATCAAGTTAGATAGTATCTGAAGTACGAAGACGTCCACACACTGCTTACCAAAAATTAAGGAACGAGAAGTTTCGCCTCGATAGGTGCTAAGTACCCGTAAGGTTACAGAAGGTAGCAGTTTGCTGTAAAAATATATAAATAGATGTAAAATTGAACATTTTTACAGCTAAAGTTCACGTTCTAAATCTCTCTCTTCTGATCTTAAAAAGACACAGTAAAAAACATTTTGAAAAGTTAAAAATACGTATTCTTTTTACAATGGCTGGTTGTAACTTAAACAGTGTACTAGGCACAACAACTACAGAGACGCATCAAAGTAAAAAAAATAATGGATATGCAAATGATTGGTTTCCGCTGCTACAAAAGTCATTCTAATGTTAAAGAAAAGAGCAAATAAATTAATACTTTAACGATTATATGCCAGCTTCTGCTAGAACAACACTTTATTCAAACAAAAGTTAGTTACCATTATAACCAAAACGAATTTGAACCTACACATTTTCTTCACTAATTTCTCACGATTCAAGTATAAAGATCATTTAAAAAACCTTGCAGTGGTGTTACCATCGTTATTCCCTTCATCATTTTTGCTTATTTTACTGCAGATGACACAGTTTTCTACCAAAAATGAAAAAATTTCTTCGTTATATTTAAGTTATACCACTTATGATGAATAAACGTAAATTGCCAATAAGATGACTACTAAGCAATGTACACCGTACAAGATATAAAAATTAAGCAGCCAATAGAAGACCGGGGAAGGAAGGAAGCGATCGAAATCATAGGTATACAAATAATACTTAAAAAACAGAAATCTGGATAAAAAACTTAAACGACTCTCTGTCACAGAAAAAGATTCAATTTACGAGTGTTAGAAGTAGTACATTAATTATCACAATAGATAAGTCAGTTTTTCGTTTAAAAACTCCTTTCTTTGCATTCTCATGAAAGATTATGTAAGGTAAGCAATAACAATAAAAAAAAAGGTGAAAAAAAAATGTCAACAAACATATACTTTACCTCTCCAATATTATTTCAACAATTTTTTCTACTAATTTTAAATACACTGTCTGTTAACAAAAGTTTACTTAAAATTGTCATTATTTTTCAACCCACTGAACTGCAGCTTTGACATTGCCACCTTTCAGATTTTGACTGTCTGACTGCATCGCGCCTCCGAATCTTACCTCGTTGATGACTATAGATTCCCAATTTGTGATTTCTGGCCCTTACAAATTTCAATCAAAGAAGGCTCACTTCATCGCCACTTCAAAGAATAACTTTCAAAAAATCTAAAAACACGGCTCAACTGACCTCCAAAATACAAATACAGTCAAGTTCCAGCGAAGAAGGAGAAGGAAACAGAAACTAAACAAACTACCAGTTTCTAGATAAGTTAAAAGAGAGCAGGAACAGATAAAAAAAGCTTCTCACGATTCACCATAAACTAGTTTCTTCCAGCTGATGTTTGCGAGCCCCCCAATGAGCGCAATTTGGTCTCCATTTTCCCAAAATTACTACCCGTGCAGTGTTTGCAGTGTTCTGGAAAACCTTACGTCAAAGTTTAAAATACTCAAGCTCAAATAATTAAATCGCCTGACTCAAAGAACCTGCACCTGTTTAGGATATGTTTTCGTGGGCACTAAAGACGAGCATTCTTCCCCTCCATGTTGAGCCAGAAAAATAAATATTCCCTGTTACCTAACAGTTATTTATAAAAAAAAATACAAAAAACAGAAAAATCTTCTTACAGAGACAATGTCATTCTTCAAGCATACAAAAACAAGGCAAATAAACGCAAGATCATCTTGATAAAAGGTACAAACAACAATTACAAATAGAAAAAAAATGCCCCTACCTACTGTCACGCCGCTCAAAAAAGACGGAAGTTATGAAACAGATTTCGTATTCATCAACAAACATAAAAAGCGAATGATAAGTACACCACCTCTATAGAAAACTTCAACCCTCCGATTTGCCTAGTTACCTAAGCAACCGACCTAACTGACTATACCACTGATTTTAAGGTTTAGGACGAACTGATGACGTTAATCTGTCCAATAACAAAAAACTAACTGCCGTCAACTGGAGCCAATCTGCTCCAAGTTACAACCTTTGCTGCGTTTCTATATCAATTCACAAGAGGCATTATTGTAACTTAATAGTTTAAGTTCAACCTGCTGCTTCCCTGTATACTCATAAGATCACAACTGTATAATCTTGACATCTTTCTGACAGAACTCATCGCTGTTGTTGACATAACAAAAACTATAAACAAACACAAAAGTTGCCCCAGTAATTTTTTTAATCAAACGTATACTTTACGAACAGCAAGATCAGGCAAAATCATAACTAAAATTAATGAGTCAAAATAAAGGTAGTAAACAGAAGCCAACTCTTTTTTGTTTTTTAAGACCACTTCACTTCGATTTGCAGATAGTTTCTTCGACCGAAAAGCCAAAACACATTTACAAAATGCCGCATTACAATTACACCACACAAAACCACTATTTCAATTATCTGTCACTACAACAACGATATAATCCGTGATTTGAAAAAAAAAAAACTAACAAATTTTGAAAACTAATAAAGAAAAATTATTTATTTTACTTAATCTCATCAACAAGTAATTACTGCTTGGAAAATAAGCAAAAAAATTTGAAAATATTATAACAAATACCCTATTACTGTCTGCCAACACCTATATGAACTACAGTAAAATTTTCAACTTTTTTTCGGATTAACAATCAACTAAAATTTTGCAAACAGATTATAATCACAGAACCTTTAAGCAACAACTTCTCAATGAAAATAGCCGCTCCATGATAAAAAAACCTTAAAAATAATAAAAGGTAGCACTGAAGAATAATATATGAAGACCAATACCTAATAGCTTATCAACTTAATAAAAGAATTGTTACAGACGTTTCTTAAAGGTAAAAAACGACTCAGCGCATCTTTTCCAATGATAACATTGCTTTAACAAATTTGTTCAAGGCTTTTTTGATAACCTACATTCACTGAAAATAACTTTAAAAAAAATACTATTCTGTAAAAATTTCAATATGACACAACCATTCAAAACTTTAAAGCTAAACGAAGAAAAACATCTTAAGATTTCCACTTTTTCCGTCCTTAGTTTCAAAAAATGAAGGATATGAACTGGTAACAAAATTCCCACTCCAGCTTTTTATGTAAAACGCAGTAAGACTAATAAACCAATGATATCGCCCTTAAGCTGATAATAGCAGCTGATAAGAAACTTTCTGATACTCGCGGTGAAGTGAAATTTAATAAACCGTAAAAATGTCGGCTACAGTAGCCATGGTTCAAGCAAATTTTATGACAATTTTGCAAAACGAAACGCAAACTATTTTGTAGCAGGGAATGAAATTGAAATTTTGCTGTACTTGATAATATCAATCTATATTTAAAATAAGCTTGGTAACAATAAAAGAACTTTTTGACAGCTAAAGCATGACAAATAGTAATCGATCAAGACTAGTTCTTCTGCAAAATTTCTGAAACTGAACAAAAAATACTTTAAACCGTCAAGCACCATTAGCTACTTCTGAAAAAAATGTAGTCACACTTTTATACGATGTTCAAACACCAGAAATGTCAAATTTATATGAAAAATTGAAGGGGAGGAAATAATGACTGTAAAAAAATGTAACAATTACAGTCACATATGTCTTACCAAGAAAAAAAAAAGAACGCTTTTTATAAGCGACATGACGTTTGTCACAAAGTTTAAAATCTAAACTATTAGTTATAAAGCGTACAAAATTTAAGCGGATTATACGATGCAAAATGTTTTTAAACCAAAAGCTTTTTTCTTTTCCTCATGCTTAACAGCACCCAGCTATTTCACATTTTTAGCCAAAATTGGAAATTAGCTTGCCTCAAAATTCGTTCCAAAACACCAAAAGCGTCGAATCAACAGCAGCGGGTATAGAAAAAGGTGACAAGTTTAGATGTATCAATTTTTCCAATAAATTCTGTGTTTTGAACTTATTTAAAAAAATTTGTGATATCCTCGCCGACTTTTTTTAAGTCCGCGCTCATAAACTTTACATATCCGTGTGGTGCCAAACTCTTCGTTTTTCAATCACTTTTGTAC